CACCCCGGTCCACTCCAATAACGGACATGCTCCTCGGATTGCAATCTACGGGCCACCCTCTCCTCTATTGATAACGCGACGTCTCCTATCCTTCCACCGCGCCGTAATGCTCTCCTAGCACCGCCTGAGCCATTGCGACACCCGGCCACGACACCCGCTCCCACCGCCAGCACGACGGCTACACGGCACCACCGAGCCCGCGGCCCAACCGGGCAGCCACCTGTCTGAGCGACAGGACCCGAAGCAACTCATGGCCAGCTCCTTCGAGAAGAGTGTCAAGGGCGGCACCAAGATCAAGGTAGCTATGCGCCCTCGCTCCTTCCGGCTGCTCCCCCATGCGCCATCACGGTCGACTAACGCACGGTATAGCTCGCAGCGCCCAAATCCAAGTATGTCGAGCACATCCTCGTCGCGACGCATGCCGGCGAGGCAGGTGTTGCTGAGATCTTCCGCGCCCTCACGAACCGACTACGCGACTCGACATGGACCATCGTATTCAAGAGCTTAATCATCGTACATCTCATGATAAGAGAGGGCGAGCCCGAGGTCACGCTCAAATACCTGGCGCAGAACCCACACAGAAAGCTGGCCATCAACCATTTTACAGAGGGTACGTCTTGAGATTCAGTTCCGGGCCGCCCAGCCACGGTGATGCGGCTACAACACGGGCACGAATTGGGCCGCAACCGGGTCGCCCAATGCCCTGTATCTTGAGACGGATGTCATTTGGACTGCAACAGAGGGCATACACCAGGCGCTAACATTGCGTGCAATAGTGCAGACCCAGGGCCACAACATCCGGACCTATTCCGAATACCTGCTGCGACGTGCGATCGAATACGGCGCCACCAAAGTCGACTACGTGCGCGGCGGCGAGGGGCGGCTTAAGCGGCTGACTGTGGAAAAAGGCCTTCTTCGTGAAGCCGAGAGTGTGCAGGACCAGATCAGATCACTGCTCAAGTGCCAGCCCTTCGACGACGAACCAGAAAACGAGATTACCATGACAGCGTTCCGATTGCTCACGATGGATTTATTGGTACTCTTCCATGTTATGAACGAGGGCACCATCAACATTCTCGGTGAGTCCAATACATGTACCTGGCCTGCAGTGTATTGATAAAATAGAGCACTATTTCGAGCTGTCAAAGCCAGACGCGACGCGCGCTTTGGCAGTATACCGCACATTCGTCAAGCAGACTGAAGCTGTCGTCCAATACCTTAGTCTCGCAAGAGCACACGAACACTCGACAAGGCTGGAAATCCCCAAGATCAAGCATGCTCCTACCAGTCTGGCAGCATCCCTGGAAGAATATCTCAACGACAAGGACTTCGAGATCAACCGACGACAGTACATTGCCGAGAAGGAGGCGAAGAAGAACGGGGGCAAGCCTACCAATGGCGCTAGCAAACCCTTGGATACGAAGCCTTCCACAGCGAACGCACCCTCAAACAATACGAGCAGTCAACAGCCAGCAGCAGCCTCGAAACCCTCCTCCAGCGCACCCTTGATTGACCTCTTTGCATCGCTCGAGGACAACCAACAAACAATGGCCACGCAGCCCATGATGCAGCAGTATCCCCAACAAACAGGCTTCCAGGTTCCACAGCAGACGGGCTTTCCTCAACAGCAGCAACAGCCCTTTGCTATGCAAAATGGCCAGAGCACCAATCCGTTCCAGATGCAGCAGCCACAGGCGCCGCAGATGCAGGCACCCCAGCTCCAGTCACAATTCACAGGCGCAGGCTTTGGAGGCTATTCGCCTCAACCGTTCGGTGCACAGAATACCATGCCTTCAATACCACAGAATGGTATGCCTGATTATTCACAACAGCAGCAAATGCAGATTCCTACAATTGCCGAACCCTTACAACCACAACAAACGTCAACAAACCCATTCCGACAGTCAATGCTGCCGAGTGCCGAACCCAAGATGCTCACTAGCCCTACCAGCACTGGATCGCTCAATCGGTCATCCACGAACCCATTCGCAAAACAAAGTACCGGTTTCTCGCAGTCGCAATCACCCATCAATTCTCCACCTTACTCCATGTCACCGATCCAAGAATCACCATTTGCTCCGATGCAGCAGCAGCCTTTACAGCCAACACCAACCGGCACGAATCCATTCGCACGGCAACCCTCGCCGCAGAGTGCCGCATCTCCACAAGGTGGCCTTACAGTGAACGCCACAGGCAGTACCAATCCCTTCCGGCAGAGCGCTTTCGTCAACCAGCAAACGGGGCAGGGTTGGCAGAACACAGGTAGCCAAGGGACAATGGGGGGGATGAGTCTGGATCAAGTGCCCACAACGAGTGTCTTTCCACGGCCTGGACAGCAACAGCAGCAAAACTTCCTTGGCTAGGATCAGGACATGATGATGGGTAATGGTAGACTGCGACTGTAAGAACCTCAAAGGGCAATTCATACACTCGTAAACGGGCATTTTCATTAGGGATGGCGTTTCTATATCGCTCGCCGCTGTAGTTATTACGTACTCGGTTGGACATAATCATGTTGCACTGCGCAAGGTTAGTTGTGTGTATATCTGTTTCTTGGAAGGGGCGTTGGGAGCCCGCTCAATGTTGGATATCTAAGGGCAGATTGGGTTGACATGATGAAGTGTCGTAAACGCTCTGGGCAAGTATCCGGACAGCTCCGGATACTTGCCTAGAGCGTCCGGATACTTGCCCAGAGCGTTTATGACACTTCATCATGTACCGACGATCTCGTAGCTCGTTGGGAAGCTGGGCTCATGCCGGGAAGAGAAGCCCCTCGCTAATGCAATATATAATTACTGTCGCACACAACGCGTTGTTCTCGTACTGTACAGAGCGTTGAGCCTTGACTCTGACTTTTGTGTTGGTATCTCTACCTGGGAGGTCGCGTCGACTGGGGCTAAATAGTGACCACTGCCTGTTAGGTAAATGCAGGGGTAATACAAGCCACGTGCCGACGCGTTGCCGTAGATTTAGCGCGACGGGCACAACTTACCTATCAAGCCGCACAGTCGGCACAACACGGTCCACAACCTCACTCACTCGACGCCGCTTGATATCTACCACAGATGACCACGATTTCTGCCATCACTATCCGGAGCCGCCTCCCATGACCTTATTGAAACAGCGCAAATTTGTCGACTGGCGCTGGCAAGCCCGCATCAGCGTTCTCAACAATGAAACCTGACGGGTCTCTGGATGCTCCCTTCACTCTTGAAGACGATGACCCGCCCCCTTATGTGTCTGCGCCTACTGTGCGGCGGCGCCATCGCCAAACGCTTGATCAAGATGGGCTTGAGGAGATCTCAGACGCGCAGCAAGCCGCAGCTGCATGGAAGGAAGTCGCCGCACGGAGACAAACGCAACAAAGACATGGGAAAAGCATGAGCAATGATACGCGTGCAGGAAATAGTAGTGCGAAGGATAGCAATCTCACGAGCAAACTGCGAGACCGGACGTCGTCATCCACGAAGTCTGTTGAGATTGTTGATCTTTCAATCGATGAAGATGAACCGCCAGTATCCGGACAGGCAACACAATCAGGCGCAAGTGCTAGAGTGAATCAGCGTCCGATTCAAGGACCGCAGGGTTTTGTTCCTTTGCCTACTACGCGTCACGAAGCTGTGCTTCCTGAGCGAGCTAAGCCTGCTGAGTCTCCTAAGAGAACGAGTCGGATATTCTCTCTACCCATGGAATCTCTAGCATCTCCGGCTTCTCGCTCCCATCATCCGCCTCAATCATTGGTTACACGAACAGCGGGGCCATCCACGGGACTTCCAGAGCCCTCGACAACGCCGCCTTATCACTCACTCTTTGCGCCTCGCTCATCAGTGGCGCAAGTTACCGAACCAAGTGCGGAGCTTTCCAGGGAATCTTCAGCAAACCCAGTCTATCAACCATGCTACCTGCCCCGACCATCAGTCGCACAGGGAGCGGGGTCAAGCGCGGAGGTCTCCAAGGTCACGCCGCTGAACCGCCCGCCGTCAGCCACATCAACACCAAGGACAGAACCAAACGTTAAAGCGATACTGGGAATTGGAAATCTTTTCCCTCAGTCTACGTACAGTGCGACGTCGGCCCTCGGAGCCTCAACCGATCGTACCACACCCGTCTTGGACCATGCTGTGGATCCATCGGCGCAGGCAACCAGTGATGTCTCTGAGACTCCACGTGATCAAGGCCCTCCCAGTCGCGGAGATACAGTTCCCGAGTCTGACGACGCAACACCGGATGATGATAGTGGCAGCATGACTGTCCCCTTGCCTAGGAAGTCGCCCGAGCCAAGCCTTTCAGCAATACAAAGACTGCCGCAGAAACAGAAAGCCATCAAGTCGGTGAGACGAAGGGATGATGAGTTCTCGGGTTCACAGCTGCCTGTCAGACCACCGCATCGGTTTGCGGCTGATCATCGGGGCGTAACAAACTTGTCGTACAAGCCTCTCAACCTGGGCTTGAGTAAGTCGAGGTCTGGGTCGCCTGTGGTAACACGCCGTAGCCAAAGCAAAACTCCAACGATAGATGCTAGTATCGTTGCTGATAGCGCGCCTGCGCAGACGGAGGAAGAACCCGTCAGGACTGCCAGTCCTGTAGAACGCAGCACAACGCCGACAGAATCGCCGCCACCACCACCTCACGATGAGGCAGGCGAACCTGCACCGGAGCGTGCCATTAGCTCGACACCTTTACTGTCCCGCTCTGCCACCCCTACTGCCCTGCGCCCTGTCGAGGCATCAGCAGAGCCGATCCGGCCCTCTGAAGCGCCATTACCGGTCCCCGAAATTATGATCCCAGATGTACCAGCTCCGGCAACAATCGTCAGTACTCATTCAACCATCCAACCCGAACACCTTCGGGTGCCTGTCGAGAACGATGGTGGTAGAACAAGCAAGAAGCTCCCACTGCAAGCGGATGTGCTCGCCACTACACGCTCAGCCGTAGAAGCGTGTTTGAAACGCCATGTGGCGGAACGACATGAATCACATGCATACCTGATGGAGACCAAGATGCGGAATCAGAGAACATTTCAAGAACAAGACCTACGCGCCCGGTCCCGTAAGCAGAAGCGTCCACAACAGCCCACCCTGCCTGAAAAGTACATCCAGAAGACTTCCCCCTTTGAGAACATGCGTGCTATACAAGTGCCGTTCGACAGAGCCAACGCCAAGCGCCTCGTGGATATGAGTCAGGAAACATTCATCAAGGCCAAACCCAAGGACACAGTGGTCAAGTCAGGCTTAGCCGCGCCGACTACAAAGTACAAGAGTGATGCGCCAAAGATTCCTCCTTTCAAAGAGTATGTCAGTCTGAGGAACAACGTTCTCAAAGACAATGAGTCAAAATTACTCGCAACACCCTATTTCCAGGACGAAGACTATCGTGGTCGCGAGGTTCTGCTGGATACGCTTCCTTATATGTACGAGATGACGCATGACGAGAAGGGGCCGTTAGACTTTCGCAAGGAACAGTGCCGGTTCTACGAAAAAGCTATCGAAGCATTCCTGTCTGAAATAGGCATCACGTGGAACGATATCCTGTTTTGGCTACTGGCCCCGGATCAAGACATCATACAAATCAACAAATCTTTAGAGGGAAACAAGCAATTTGAAGCACAGCTCCTCGAACGATCACGATATCACATTGAGGAGTTTGAGAGAGACGGTGAACCGAAGAAGGCTATTCTGTTTAACCGGAACAACAAAAAGTGGGAAGGGTTTGTCGCACAGCTTGAAGAGCCGATCCCGAGTGCTCTGAGACTTGCGGCAACAGCTTCTGCAGCGGTCTTCAAGGAATGTGAATTCAGCATCTGGTACCTGGCTCAACAGTCCAAAGCTGTGCAGAGTCTCATACGGACGAAGTCTGCACATGAGCAGTCTTCCAAGCACTCAACGTACAAGAAGATCATGTGCAGAGTATGCCATAAGTAAGTACCAATGCGTGGTTTTTGATGACGAAATCCTAACCTTCTTGACAGACACAATTGCCTTACGCATGGCGAGATCAGACAAGTACCTGAGGATTCCTGGAAGACGGACTCGGAAGACGAAGAACGCGCTACACAGGCGACTGATGATACCAGTCGTCGAGGCTCCGACAACAGAATTCCGCGCCGTGTGTCGAACTTTAGCAAAGACGACACAGACGATGAGAACGAACCCGGCGACCCCTTGCCCGCACATTTTGACTCCGACTCCGACATTGAGAAGGTCATAAACTATAAGCTCCCTGCAAACCCAAGCGCTTTCGAGACTTGTTCAGAGACGGAGATGATCACTCCCAAAGGTGCGAAACCGCCACCTGGTAAGTTTAATAGCACTTGGTGGCTGAACCAGGACACAACGCAACATTGGGAGAAGAGGAAGCCTTTCTTCCCATGCAAGCACGAAGGCAGCTGCGAGAACGCGAAATGCCGGTGCTTCAGAGAAGGCATTAATTGTGAGAAAACATGCAAGTGCTCTCACTCTTGCAACCGACGTTATCCTGGTTGCAGTTGTGCAACAGCATCGGGGAAGCGCGTGTGTCTTACACAGACATGTCTCTGCGTCAAATTCAACCGAGAGTGCGATGCAGACCTTTGTGGCTCTTGCGGAGCATCTGAAATCCTCGACCCGGTGAATCGTTATAACGATGAAGTGGTTCAACGCAACTGCTGTAATGTTGCGATACAGAGGGGTGTTCCTCGGAAAACGTTGCTCGGTCATTCGGAAGTGCATGGCTTTGGACTCTATATGGGCGAGGACATCAAGAGTGGCGAGTATATTGGTGAATACACTGGCGAGGCCATCTCGGTCAAGGAAGGCGATCGTCGAGTGACGATATACGACTACCAGAAGACGATGTATCTGTTTCGTCTTAACTCGAGTGAGTTACTATATCATTCTTACGCGAATCAGATTACTAACAACGTGTAGAGCAAGAAGTTGATGCCACGTACATGGGCAATAAATTACGCTTCATCAACAATGCCGACGACAAGTACACAAACTGCGGCCCCAAGAACTTGCTTTGCAATACAGTCTTTCGCATCGCGCTTTTCGCCACCAGAGATATCAAGGCAGGCACCGAACTGTTCTTCAACTACAACTATCCCAAAGAGAAGACGGAGCAATTCAAACAGCCGAATGCCAAGATCGTCGCGGTCAAACAGACCAAGCAAAAGACGAAGAAAAGGGAGTCACTCACCAGTCTGAGCCAGCCCATCGAGGACCGCTCACGCATCCTTGCCGCCACAGCAAAGGCCAGAGAGGCAAAAGCAGCGAAGCGGAAGGAGGCTATGCTGCAAGAGGGCGGCGTGGAGCCAGCCACAAGAAGGCGTTCTGGAACACTTCAAGCACGAAAGGCAGCTACGAGCAAGCCCGGACGCAAAACAGTGCGAAAGTCCAAGCGCGGAGGCCTCAATAGGAACGAGTCCACAGGCTCAGATACGGGTATGGATGCAGAGGCAAGCGACCCCGAGATCCCCGAGATCCCTCCCGTTATTGAGTCGCAGAGCACTCAGACTAGTCTGTACGTCCAGGACACGGAGGCGGAAGACGACGAGTTCATCTTGCCGGATACTCAAGAAGACGAAGAGCAAGATGTGGCTGAGCCGGCCTCTGAGGATGATGAACCGCCCGGTCGATCTACGAGGTCTCGTCGTGCGCCGGTTCGACCGCGTAAGAGGGGGTCGGATGTGGCGCCGGTGGTTGCGGTTAAGCAGGCGGTCAAGCAGAAGAAGGGGAAGGGTGGCGCACGACCGGGTGCTGGTAGAAAGAGAAAACGACCCGTTATTGCTAACAGCGATGATGAGTGAGACCTCTGCGCCAGTAGTTGGGATCGTACATTGGTTGATGAAAGAGAGGGACGATGTGAGTGGGATGTCTGTTTGGTGTTCATTTTTGTGTTTAATACCCCATTCTATATTGCTTCAAGCAAGATATTACTACAGAAGAGTTTTACATGTCTCTGGAGTTAGCAGTCGAAATGCGCAAGACGTGTCGGCACCCTCGAACATGGAATCTGCATAACCTACTTAGACACCCTTACCACTGCGCAAGCAGCTGCAACGTTGCTTTCAGCAACACAACACACTCGTAAATCCCCGCAACGTCAAAGCCACCCCCTCTCCCACCCCGTACCAAACCGCTGCCCTAATCCAGAGCTGCCAGACCACCCAACGGCCGCACCAACCTCCGGGACGCGACCCGCGCAAAGCTGCAAGCCAGTACCGGGCGGCATGCTTACCCATCTAGTGTGCAACCACACCCAACGATCTGCACAGCGGGGAAAACAAACGACATTCGTTCGAGACCGAGACTATCGAATCGAACGCTTGGGTAGCGGGAAAGAGGGGAATAAGCAGCGGAGACTGGAGGTGTCATCTAGACGTGGGATTGCCTGACGCACAGGTAAGAGTAAGCTGAGCGGGAACAAGCAAAACGTTGGTTTTAATCGATATTTCTACGATGGATGTGTGACCTGCACAAATGTTGAGATTGCGATTGCACTGTGCGCAACGCAACTCCTCCTATCTATGGTAATTTGGCATTCAGCATACTCGGTTTACCAAACGCCCCATGCTGTGCGTGCGTGCGCCTCTTCCGGTGCGGATCGCTGCATCCACGAGATGTGCTACAGGTATGCGATTAAGGTTTAGAGTGGGGCGGGGAAGGCCTGGCTAGCACAGTGTAGTTGAGATTGGGGAGATGCGACAGGAACGCGTGGAAACGGCGAGATGTCATTCTTGTAAGACTTGCTATGCAGCGGAGATGCCGTGATGGAAAACACGTGTGTGTGGTGTCGCACCTGATTAAGCCCGGTGCAAAGAACAGTCGGGTAAAGACATAAATGAACATCACGTGGAAGCTCCACCACCTGCATCATCTCCAGGGCTGGGCAATGTCTTGAACCTGATACATCGCAAGACGCGTCTTCACACACAGCCCAGCCCATGAATCCCCGTCCACAAGCAATACTCTCCGCCGCTGAACGGAAACAACAATACCTACGTCAACAAAACGTCTTTCTTTTTTACCCACCCCCCCCTTAGCTCCGATGCGCATCTGAAGCCGAACATGGGAAGCGACGAAAATACCCGAGACACAGACGCCAAGCTTGTACCAGAAAGGGAACGCACCTGCTACATTTAGCCTCTTTGCTCCGCAACCGGTGCTCCACCCACTCGTTGCTGCACTAGCCACACGCTCGGCCAACCTTCGCGCCCACGCCGCGGGTTCAAGCTGTGGTGTGCGTGGTGTGTAGTTTGGCGCGCGTTCCGTCTGCTGCGCGAGAGGAGCAGTACACACACACACACACACAAGGAGGATGCAATACTACTATCCACGTATAAAAGGAAAGAAGCAAGACGGCGGAACAAAAGCCCACGGAGACGTTCATCTCCGGCGTCGCGCATGCCGCAACGAGGTCTGGATCCACCCCGTGTGATTGGATGCTGATGTCATTGTACGCGGCTGGAGCGTGCACCCACTTTCACATGTCAGACGACGCTTCACGCATCAGCAGGACCCAGGTAGGTGCTGCAACACGGACAACGGCCCCACTGTCCAACTCGCGCAAATGATGGCGCGCTTCACTTGCCCTTCAGCTGGCGGTGCGTAACAAAAGCTTGGAGCAAACGTGCGTAGCAAGCCATTCTGCCAAACCTCACCTTGTCTGTTCTCCTAGGCGTCTAGACTCGCTCGTCACTTTTGTCTGAATTGTTCCGCGGAAGAATTAACTGCAGCAACCAAGGGATTTGTGTTGTTGGAATTGGGTATTCTTTCTTGCCGGTATCCGCAGTGTTGCATGCAGCTGGATCTGTTCATCATCCATTCTCAGCCTTACTCCTCATTTCTCACCTGACGTCTTCCCGACTCCGCTTTCCATCACCACCCACCCACCAAACCAACCATCGGGGCACGCTGCCGGCACATCAACACATCCACTTTCAACCACACGTCTCGGTCTTTCTCGACGCACTTCACATCTCCCCGGCCAAATGGATTGTATAGAGGCCATGGGTGCGCGACGTGCCATGTCGCTCATGTTCACCGTTCCGGAGCGCTTCGTCGGCTTCGCGCACATGGACCAGAAGACTTTCTTCGAACTCTCCGACTGGATCCTCGCAAACGTCGCATCAACTATTACTACCGACATAAGTGTGGAAGAGTCCCTGTTCATATTCTTGGATATCGTGGCACAGGGGAACAGCTTCAGTACCGTGGCGTATGGATGGGATCATGACCTAGAGCTTACGCAAGGGTACGTTGTCGAGCGAAAACTGTTTGCGTTGTATCGAGGTAGAGACTGACTGTTGCGCGTAGCATATTCCTCAACGTCCTCAACGCCCTCACGGTTCTGCGCGAGAGTAGGGAGATTGCCGATTCATGCCCGCCCTTCACACAAACCCGCAAGCGATGGGAAGTCGCTCGGAGATGGAACCAGAAGCGGGCGCGTATGGGCACCGGCGGTGTTGTCCGCATCGGCTACGACGAGATGTTGCGCGACGGCCTCGAGGTTGACCAAGAGTGTCTGAAAGAGGCGCTGATGGCGATGAACAACTTCATCCACGAGAACGCCGACCACGACGAATCATGATGGCGCACAAAATTGGTAGTTTCCTGCATTTGTTCCGGTGTTGGTTTGGCGTTTGGGTAACGACTTGGTAACGCATTGCATCGGTTGGGAGGGTTGAACTTGGTGTTGACAGTCTTCTTTCGTTCTCGTTTCGTATGTACATATGTACGCTCTTTTGCAGGTCGAATTCGATCTCGACTGGCCGTTCGGTGCCGCTCAATTCGCCTTCCTCAGATGTGTTGTTTGTCGTGACGTCTTTCATATCGCCCGCTCAACCCAAGGCTACGGCTTCCACCGTGCCTTTGCCCAGTACACTCAGTCTCCCCCTCTTGATTCCCAACGCGTCTTCAATCCTCGCATCAGGCTCTCCCTTGCTCCGTCTCATCATCGCCAACGTTATGACACCAGCATCCACATACGTTCTTCCCTGGAACCCTCTTCTACCAACGTCTCGCAACTCATCTTCTGCCTGGTCTGCTATCCGTTGTCTCGCCTCCAGTACCCGGAGTACAGGGTTATTACGCGGGTCGGGGAACGCAGACTGCGGTGGCGATTGCATCATCGTATCGGAGGGAAGATTCGGCGAGGTATTGCGACGAGGGTCGAATTGCGAGGCAGACGAAGGCGAGAAATGAGGGTTCGGTTGGACAGCACCCAGACTGCTCAGGCGAGATGCAAAGGCAGGGTCGCGGGCATCTTGTAAAACAGCTGAGCTAGAAATCAGTTTCGTGTCCCCATGTGCTGAAAGCGTGTGGATACATACCCTCGGTCTTCTCTCCAGAAGCCTGCACCTCGGGATGCACCGTCGGTCCCTTTACAGGATCCTGTGCGGGTGCGGAAGGCGCGGGAGCCCGTGTTGTAGTATTTGTAGGGGCTCTGGTAGGGTATTTACGAGCAGCAGAGCCCGCCGCCTTTGCACCTTTGGAAGCCGAAGAGCCCATTATCTCTGTTGGGAATTCGTCGAGTGTGGGGTAGTTGCAGAATGTTGAGACGCGTGGTGATAACGGGGGGGGGGCAGATAAGATGCACGTATGGGACTTTCTGAAGCTTGGACCACTCTGATGATGTAGTGGAGATCTCCCGCGTCATGAAAAGGGTTTACTACTTTGGGCGATGCTTGCGAAGGCTACAACGAATCGTAATTTTATTTTCGAACACATCGTGACATGCTTAATCTACCAAGGGCTATTTTGGCCTATAGGAGCTTTTCGTCGGCACGGTAGTGTCCTGCGACCAGGAATGCCAACTCCAACGCCTGTTTCTCGTTCAACCTGGGATCGCAGTATGTGGTATAGTTCAGGCTTAAATCCTCGTCCACAAGTCCTTCACTTCCGCCAGTGCATTCCGTAACTGCATCGCCGGTGAGTTCCAGGTGCATGCCGCCGAGGAAGGACCCGTGCTGCTTGTGGATCTTGAGTGCTGATGAGAGCTCAGAGAAGATGCTGTTGAAAGAGCGGGTCTTGATGCCAGTAGGCGTGCTGCGCGTGTTGCTATCGACACGTTAGTGGATGAAAGATTGCGCACCAAGACGACTTACCCGTGCATGGGATCGCACTGCCACACTACGACGTGTCCACTGCTCTTGACAGCTTCGATGTGCGCTCCAAGCATCGACTCAACCTTGTCCGCACCATATCGCGTGATCAATGTAATCTTGCCAATCTCCTTATTCGGGTTGACAATGTCGAGCAGCTCTACCAGCTCGTCGTTCTTCATGGAAGGACCAACCTTGATACCAATAGGGTTCTCAATACCGCGGAAGTACTCAACGTGGCCTCCGTCGATTTGACGAGTCCGGTCTCCGATCCAAATGAAGTGAGCAGAGGTGTTGTACCAGCCCTTGCCGTCATTTGAGGGCTGGGAAGGCTTGTAGCCTGAAGGGTGCTTGAGTCTCCTTGTCAAGCTCTGCTCGTACTCCAGAACGAGACCTTCGTGGCTGGTGAACAGGTCTACTGTCTGCAGCTGACCTGATGTGTCCGCCCCAATAGTCTTCATGAAGCGCAACGAGTCAGAGATGCTGTGGACGATTTTCGAGTACTTGGTTTGTAGTTCCTCGTCCCGCACGTGACCCAATTCCCAGTCCAGAGGATTGTGCAGATCAGCAATGCCACTTGCTAGCTGTCCACGGATGTAATTCAGTGTCGTCGCCGAATGGAAGTAGGCGCTGACCAGCCTCTCAGGGTCAACTCTTCGAGCGTCAGGATCGTATCCATTGAGGATATCGCCACGGAAGCTAGGGACTTCCTTGCCGTTCAGCATCTCCGTCGGGCTTGATCTGGGCTTAGCATACTGTCCGGCTATACGGCCAATGCGAATGACGGGCTTGTTTGAACCCCAAATCAGTACCAAACTCATTTGCAGCAGAAGCTTGATCTTTGCATCGATTGGGTTGTCCGCGCAGTAGGAGAACAACTCGGCACAGTCACCTCCTTGCAACAGGAACGACTTTCCAAGTGCAGCATCGCGGAGACTGGCCTTGAGTCGCGCGATCTCTGTTGGTGTAACGATTGGCGGCAGACTCGATAGCTTGGTCAGCGCAGAGGATACTGCTGCTTGATCTTCATATGTGACGACTTGCTTGATGGGCTTCGACCTCCAGGCTGTAATCGTTAGTACAGCAGCTTGAGCGTCCATGATCCCTCTTACAAGCTGGCGACCATTCTTGAGAGCCGGCATCTGTCTCAGCTTCTTGCTTGGGCCTTTCTGGCAGTTGTGTTGAGTTTGCGCTCATCGTCGACGGAGTTGGTTGCGATTGTGTTTGGCCACTGGTTGCTGCCATGAATTGGGAAACGTAGTCGGTTAATTTTGCGTGCCCTTCGTTGTCCATAATGTGTTCTCTTCCAGTTGATGTGCCTAGGTACACTTCGTGACTAGTTCAGGGCTGTCTAGTTGCGACGCGGAAGATCACCTTTGAGTCACTTGTTAATATGGCAGTTCGGCAAGAGTTCGCCTGCAAGGAGACGTGACCAAAGGACGCAAACACATGACTCAAGGTACAAAATCTGCAACGAAAAGCGGACTGCGTGCGCAATACGTCATGACGTAACACAGCAAACTTACCCTGAGTATGCTGATAGGTGTGTAGCGAGTATATCGCCGCTTCTGCGTTGGTATTCGTGTGTAAGATCTATGTTCCTGCCTGATCCGAGGTTTTGTGCAAGAATGTAGGACTTAGAAGCGTGCATAACTCGAGAAAGTCAACCAATGGCGGCCACTCTCTTTTCCCATTGGCCACATTTCTATAACCCTTAGCTACCCCACAACCCTCAGCTCTCCAATCTACTGTCGTCATTGCCTCTCCATCTTCCATCGCGTGTACAAGCCCTCTATATCACCTCTACGCTCTTTCAGCCTTCAAAACTGTACACTCTACTCGCGACATCCACAATGGCCGAGCCCCAACCCTCCACCGTCCAAGAAGGCGCCGCCGACCCGCACGCACCCACAGGCACAGCCGATGACCGCAAAGCCGCCGCCGCCCTCTCCACACTCGACGCGCCCCAAGAAGGCGAGAATGGGCCGAAGAAAGAAGTCGATGGCAAGGCACTAGACAAGGCGATGAAGGGGCTGAATGTGAAGGACAAGAAAGAAGGCGAGAAGAAGAACGTCAAGATCGAGGCAGCTGATGTTAACCTGCTGGTACGTTCACCTTCGGAGTAGATGCGCAAAGAGAGTGATGCGCAGACATACTGGAATCATTGGGCATAGACTGACAGTTGGATGAACAGGTCTCCGAACTTGAACTTACAAAGCCAAAGGCTACGGAGCTGTTGCGCGCGCATGATGGTAATGCGGTGAAAGCTATGACGGCGTTTGTCATGACAGCACCCTGAGCGACTGTATGGAAAGGACGATCATGCAAACACACAGAGCCGTCGCTAGTGTTTGAGGCTGCACATACTGAGGCGTCGAAGGGGGTGCGAGTATGGGACGAAATCCAGGCAGGCACTCGCATCTTCCGGGCTCAGGCCATCTGCTTGGACGATGTACAGCAACAGCCAACCTGCCCCCTGCCGCAACACAACTGGGCAATGCTAGATTGACGACTTTGGGAATAAGCGTTCAAGAACAGAAATAAATGGGATTATCACCGACAAGGCTCCCGTAGCATGAAAGACAAGACGCTCACAAGAAGGTTTCGTGTTTGAAGACAAAAGATATCATTAGTTCTACTATGTTCTAGACCTCCTCTACAAAGACAAATTCTCTTTAGCGATGATACGCCAGAAATCGACCACAAACTCTCCGCCCTCTTGCAACAGGGGAGCAAACGCTTCATGTTTCCCGATAGTCGATACTTCGCAAGCTATGTACTCCACCACCAGTTTTCTGAGATCTTCAATGGTTCCATCAGGCTTCCTGTCTTCCCCATTGTCGTATGCATATCTAGCCAACTCAACCACATCGCTTACTCGTCGATCGTAGAGCTTGAACTTGAGGAGGGTATGGTGGAGCTTGTGTAGAGCCAGGCGTTTCAGAGGGTCGATGAGGCGCATGCAGGCGAAGGTATAGAGATGTGCGTGCGCTAAGAAGATAGGCGTAAAGTTCTGTTCAGGCTTGGAGTTCTCCTTAGGCAGAAATTCGGCAAGCATTGTCGCACTCGGCTCATCTGATGTGAGGTAACCACGTTCGTCGAAACTTCTTCGCAGATTGAGAGTCGCCCTCGACGTTGCTGACTTCTTTTTCTTCTTGGACCATGAATTGATCGCGGTCGATTCGTTGGTGAAAGGGCGCGGCGCGCGGCTGCCAAACCCGGGGCCGAACACGTTAACCCCTGTTTCTGGTTCCACTACTGGTTCTGGTTCTGGTTCTTCTGAGACTAGGCCTTCTTCGACGTCTACGTCTGATTCGATAATCTTGGAATGGGGGTCATCCAAGGTCCAGTGTGGCACCGTGTAGTCGTATCGATACGCGTATTCAACATATCGAGCAAAGTCTTCCGGCTCCATATCTGGATACTCAACGGACCGCTTTTGTGACTGCGCCATACCATTGTTCACAAGCGCGTGGAAATGCCATGAGGTTGCGGCGATCGCTTTAGAGTGTACAACAAACTCCTTCCTGGCTTTCCCGATGTAAAACGTGAATGGTTCCGACTGTATGAGTCTACGATCTGTCAGTCAGACAGTCCCTTTAGCTGGGGCTGGGCACTTACTCCTCAAAGGAACATATGCCTGATGGTCCAGCCATTCTTTGTACTCCTAGCAGAGCTCTAGCAACTACTGTGCCCTCATCAATCATTATATGAGAGCAAGTGGGTACGACCAAGAAAGTTTCGCCCTTCATATTATACTTCGTCAGAGACTTCAGGCGCATCAGATTGGGTGATACGACGCATACTCATGTAGCACGAGCTGGTCTTTCCGCCTGTGGCGTCCAGACACGTCTTCTGAACCTGCAGCTGTCTGCACCGTGCCGCAATATCTGAAGGGGTACCCAGTACTGCTACATACACACGCATAACATAAACTGACATATAGTTTTGGGCAAGCAAAAGATGACATGGTGATTGTGCTTGAACGATAGCTTGTTTTTACGAACCTTCCACGCGCAATCAAAAATGCTCGCAGCGGTGCTTCGACATGAGAACGCTTAACCTAGTACCGATGCAGATATTGGGTAAAGCTGCATTACTCCACTTCTATACGGCAAGCGCAGAGAAGGACAGTGAACATAACTATGCGAAGGGCTAGCCCTTGCACTTGACGCTGCAAACCTACAAGCGTAAGCGAGCTATGGGGCAACCGCAACCGCGTCCCGTCCGTTGCTTTTCCCAGCTCAAAACAGGGTTCCACCACGCTGCGTCATCCGCGATCTTAGCAAGGTGATCGCGCGGGACGTTGCACATGGGGTTCCATGCTCGCCGCCGACGTTCTGGGCGAGTCGCGCGCTGCAAACCGCGATGATGTGCACCACATACGTCACCGATCCGTGAATATGGTAGACGCTCCATACCTCACTACTCGTTGTTGAAGTCAACGTCCGGCAGCCAGATACACTAACGGCCGTCTACCAACTATCCATCTATCCTGTTTATCTGCTTGCGCTACTAGCGCATACAAGCCGTCAACACGGCGCCTCAAGTCCCCTCTCGTCGCGCGCTCGCTGGCATTGCGCTCATCTCTGTATTGTCGGCCGTCGAGAAGCAGCGCAAGAAGAAGGTGGAAGGCAAAGAAGACCAGCACGAGTTCAATACGACCGAGGATATGTCTGGTGAACTACAGACGATACCTGCGCGCCATGGCGTCGCAACTTTTGTGCCCAGAGGCCGAACAATCAAGGTCATCAACACATACGGGAAGCAGGTAGTCAGTATGTGGGCGTTTAGTCTGGGACCTCCGCCTGACGATGGAGACGATGAGGAGGGTGAAGGAAAGGAACTGGACGACGAACAACTCAAGAAAGAAGCAGAGCAGATGAAGAAGGCTGTCGAGGAAGAAGGAGAGAAAGCTACAGAGGCGACAAAAGGAGAAGATGATGGGGCGAAGGAGCCGAAGAAGGAGGTAGATGGTAACGACAACGGTAAAGAGACGCAGTCTACCGAAGAAAAGACCGAGGACTCAAAGCAAGAAGCTGCCGAGGACCCGCCCGAGCAGGCTCCCGATACACCCAACAACGAGAAGACGACTGAAAGCACAGATTCATCGTCAAAGCAGCCCAACAAGCGCACATGGGCATCATACCTTCCTTCTATCCCGTATCGCAGCAAAGGTGGAGCGAGCAAGCAGGAAGCAGAGCAGAAGCCTAGCCCTGAGCAGGAGAAGAAGCAGAATGAGGAGAACACCAAGAAATGGTCTTCGTACTTGCCAACCGGAAAGAGCTTCTCTAGCTACGTACCGAATGTCGAAGTACCAGACTCGAAATCCGTCGTGAGCGCGTTCAAGTCGAGCCATAATCGCGATCCGAACAAGAGCTATGCGGAGCAGCTGTACGACTTCTCGAAGACACCTGTGGGTGCTGGAACTATTGCCGGTAAGTCAACGGACGAGACACTACGTTGTAAGAATCCGCACTAATACCGTGTAGCTGCAACTGGATCAGGGTACGCATCCTCAGCTTACGCTGTATACTCCGCCTACGCTTCGACGAATCCCTCGAACTCTGAGCAGCCTCCCATGGAGTACCTCTCTCTTCCCCACACGCGCGCCGCCTCGCACAAACTCGTACCCGAAGTCGATGACGAACTCCTGACCAACCTGCGCAACCCGATCGTCACTCTCATCGAAGACACCTCGCCTGGTGCGCACGATACACTGACGGCGGCGTGTGACGCAAACCAATACGCTGCTCTCGGTGTTGATAAACCAGCGGAGCATGGTAGCTGTGCCGAGAACCTCGTTCTCGCACTCAAGGAGATCAACGAGACGGCAGGACTGAAAGGCCCAAAAGCAGTTGGCGCAGACATCTCCGTCAACATCGCACCGACACCCCTTCATCTCTTCATGAATGCACCTCTGCAGTCTGAAGGTACATCCCACAGCGACGGCGCAGGCACCAAGGGCGTTACACTCAGCGTCGACGAGCCCAAGGGCAAGAAACGCTGCCACGTCCGCTTCCGCGCCGAGCGAGACGTAGTCATTGTATTCAGCGCCTGCCCCATGGACGTGGGCAAGCAGAACGGTGGACGCTGCATGGCAGCCAACTTCATGGTCGAAGACGTCCAAGAAGGCGAAGACCTCGTCTCATCCGTCGCATCTGGCAAAGCGAAGAAAGCACCGAAGAAGCTGAACCAGAAGGACAAGGCAGATGACACGAAACCAAAGCCTGAAGAAGCGCAACAACCTAAGAAGGACGACACGGCGGAGAAGAAGGAAGCACCAAAGAAGCCGGAGTTGAAGAAAACGGAGTCGACTAAACAGGCACCCAAGAAAGATGGTGATGCGGCGGATAAGAAGAATGCTCCTGTGCAGAAGGATGAGAAGCCAGATGGCTCCACGACATCTGAAGAACCGAAGGCAAAGAAGAAGCCTAAGAAGCTTCAGGTGCGTAGCCAGGGGGCGTAGACACCAACGCAGTCTTCATGAAACTGGCTGCGATTAGGCGCAGGTCGTAGTTATTGCCGTGGTTCAATTTGCCTTGCTGAGCATCGAAATTAGGATTTTGTACAATAGCTCTGGGTCCTTCTGCCTTGATTTATGTAAGCAAGTAATGTCTATGATACTTCTTGACTTTGGCGTGTACCTGTGGGTTTGCCAGTCTTGTGATGAAGTTTTGCGGCATTGGAAATAGAAAGAAGTACATCCAACAAGGGAGCAGAGAGAATGAGTGACAAAATTTCACCGTGGCGAGCTGAAGGATAAAGGAAATCATGAGAAAAGAAGATGAATTCGGGATACCGAGAAAACACATCAGCGAGGGTATGTATGCTACATCAACCAGCCGCGCACTCACGCACACACCTGCCAACTACTCAATCAACCTCCCCTCAAGCCATCTACCCCCTTGCCTCCAACTCACTCCCCTTTCCAAGCCGTAGCCTCAGCCCCCCTCCCCCTAACATAAACCGTCTCCATCCCCCTCGGCACAGCCGTAGGCTCCGCAACCGGCTCCCTCTTCCCCCACGAGATATACGTCGGCGGCTCAGGCTTAGGCCACGAGATACTCTGCCAGGGAAACTCCAGCCCAATACTGTTCTGCGGCGCTGGCACTGCTTCTCGCTCTGCTATAGCGCGAGCAGCGGGGGCGGCAGTAGGTTCAGGCGCGCGCTTCTTCTCTTTGCCCCAGATGACGGTGTAGGTTGGGGGGTTGAGGCCGACGCTGTTGGGTTGCGTGGGCACGGGATTGGCGGGGATTTCTACGGGGCCGTCGTCGTCTGTGGGGAGGTCAGGTGAAGATGTGGGTAAGGCATCATCGTCTTCTTGGCGCTTTTTGCCCCAGATTACGGTTACGGTGGGCGGGTTCAGTCCGATGCTGTTTGCTTGGGTTGGTTGGGAGGGGGGCGGGAAGTCGTCTTCTGGGTCGGGCTCCTCGGGGAACGGCTCCTCGGGGAAGGGTTCTTCTGGGTCGGAGGGGTAGGGCTCTTCTTCGGAGGGAGGGGCTGTTGGTTCGGGCTCGTCGTAGTCCCAAGTTACGCTGTAGTTGGGTGGACCTACGGTGATGTCTGCTGAACGTGTGGAGGTGGAAGTAGAGGTCGGACTTGGGGTTGCGGAAGAGGGAGGAGGACTGGGCGTCGGTGTTGGGGTGGGCTTTGGAGTGGTAGATGGTGTTGGTGTAGGCGTAGGCTTGGGTATATATGTAGACTTAGGCGTTGTTGTAGCTGCTGAAGAAGACTTGGATGATGACTTGGAGGTAGACTTTGACGTGCTCTTTGAAGTGCTCTTCTTCGTGGTAGTCTTTGTCATCATAGTCTTACTCGTCTTAGGCTTCTTGGTAGTCATAGAAGTTGGCTTTGCGATTCTCTTGTTCAAATCCCAGCTCACGCTGAACTTAGGCGGAGAGAGGCTGATGATAGCGCTCTTGGTTGTTGAGGGGACTGGAGCTGGGGAAGGTGTTGGCTTAGCAGTTGTCGACGGCTTTGGTGTCGAAGTTGGCTTCTTCGTAGACGTCATAGTGGACTTTGCGGTAGACTTCATTGTCGTTGGTTTCGGTGGCCATGGGTTCCATGGAGGATAGCCGGGTTTCTTGGTAGATGAAATCTTACTCGATGAAGCAGACTTGGTAGAAGAAGACACTGAAGGCTTGTAACTAGTGACGGAAGCGGAGCTAGTCATACTGGAGTTCGACCAGATAGGGGGAAGAGATACGATGGAGGAGTACTTCGAAGTTGGCTTTGGCGTTGGCGTTGGTTCCGGTGTAGGTGTCGGTTCTGGCGTAGGCGTTGAAGAGGCGCCTGGACCATCTCCGTCCCAGGTAATACTGTAAGATGGTTTTCCGATGCTGAACTGATCGCTAGGCTTAGGTGGGGGGTAAGCAGGCTCCTCAGGCTCTTCCGGTTCAGGAGTTGGTTCGGGCCCGTCAGTGGCCCAGCTCACCCAGAAGGATGGTTTACCGATGCTAAATTGATCCGTCGGCTTAGAAGGAGGAGGGTAGTCGGGTTCTTGGGGAGCAGGTGTGGGCGCAGGCCCGCTCGTTTCCCAGCTGATCCAGCCGGACGGCGTACCAATACTGAATTGATCAGTAGGCTTGGCTGGAGGCGGGTACTCAGGTTCTTCTGGAGCATCTGTGGGAGCTGGGCCGGTGGTTTCCCAGCT